CAATAAATTTCATATATTGAAAAAAATAAAAATAAAATAAAAAAAGAATCCAGAAAATATCCAAGCTTTCCTCCAACCAGATTTATTGAATATAACAAAATTCTATGACCTCAATTGACCTGGATCTGCTGCTTCAAAACATGATCCTTTCTTACTAATATTTTGAAGGGTCAGTCCATTGGGTGTCAAAAAGCAGCATACATAAAACAAACTGAGGGTTGATGGGGGTGGGAATTGGGGGGGGGAAGGAAAATGGGAGATGGGCATTGAGGAGGGCACTTGGGATGAGCACTGGGTGTTGTATGTAAGTGATGAATCATGGGAATCTACTCCTGAAGCCAAGACTACACTGTATACACTGTATATTAGCTAACTTGACAATAAATTATTTAAAAAGCATCATACTCTAAAACTAACAGAAAAGTGCCCAATGAACACTAAATAAATGGCCTAACTACTAGAACCTTAATAGTTCTACAAGATAATTAACATAAGGTAGGATCAACCCCAAATGACATGCTGCTGGAGAACTGATATGAGATGTCAAGAGGCCATTTTTTGCATTGCCACCATGATGCTATCATGTTTCTGGATCATAATGTTCCCATTATCTGATTCGAGACACACTACAGGAATATCAGTGGGGTCTGAGATTAGCTTAGCTGCTTGCTGGGTTAGAACAGAGATCACCCAGCATGCCAGTCTGACAAAGTCCTGCAGCAGCCCAGATAAAATTCTTGGAATCTGTGCAGAGGACTCCAACAATGGATGGATTCTTCATTGTGTCCTCCAAGTACTGCTCCAAGGTTGTCCATCCTGCCCATCACCTGACTGGCCCAACTCCTTACTTTTTAAATTTGTCATGCCACAAGGCCAAATAATAGATAAATACATAAAACTTTAGGATACTATAATTCATATTATAAAAATGTACCCATTTCTGAAAAAAGTCTTTGATATTGAATGTTAGTATCCTAGAAAATTAACTAATAGAAATGACTACTTAGTAAAACAGATAACTTTGATATTGTTGAAAAAATCCACTATTTTCCTTTGAACAAATTGTACTACAAAAATATTATGGCGAAATCGATAATTTTTAGTTCATGACAAAAATGTATTAAGAATCAGCAGAATACTAGGGACGCCTGGGTGTCTTTGTCGGTTGAGCGTCCAACTTCGACTCAGGTCATGATCTCAAGGTTTGTGGGTTTGAGCCCTGCATCAGGCTCTGTGCTGACTGCTTGCTCAGAGCCTGGAGGCTGCTTTGGATTCTGTGTCCCTTCTCTCTCTGCCCCTCCCCCTCTCACACTTTGTCTCACTCTGTTTCTCAAAAATAAATAAATGTAAAAAAAATAAAAAAAGGAATCAGCAGAATGGCATAAATTTTAAAAATGAAATAGATCAAATGTTAGCATGCTACAGCTCATCATCCCTTGACAATCCCATGAGGGGATGAAGTGGGAATAAAGTTAGGTTTAAATGAGGTCAGATGCTCCCTTTTCATGTCCTTGGGAGGAATATAAGGACGTTGTAGGGCTAGAAAACAGAGAGATATTGGAAAGATATTCTCCCCAGACCTCTTATCCCTCCTTCAATTCTTTTCTTACTTCATGCCTTTTCTAGACTTCCAAGCCCCTGAGGTTTGCATTTTATTTCTGTTCCAGATCCCTGATTTTTAATGGCTACTTTTTTATGAAGAAAAACAAAATGTTTTCAGTTTAAAAGTATTATTTCTAGAATTTCTCTCACTGAATCAAGGGACTGGGATTGGGAGGCCTCTCCTGGACAAAGTGGCTCCAGGTAAGAAGGATGTATACTGGGCTTGGGAAAGGTGACCAGCCAACTGAGAGGATGACTAGCCATTTCTGTCTGATTAAGCAGGGCTTGTGCAATAGCAGTTCCCTGAGAGGAACCAATGCTGCCAAGAGGGCAGAGTCCTTAATATAGTTTCACCATCCTCCCCTCTGTCATATTCTGATCCTCCTGACCCTTAGCACCACCACATCAAAATTTTCTTCTTGGGCTCCTCAACTCTGAATGAGAGAGGAATTTCCTCTCTCTGGGCTTTAGTTTTCTCACCTTTAAAATGAAACTTCCAAGATGTCTCCTGGTTCTCAGATTCTGCAAATCTCTATCTCAGTCATGCTGATCTCCCCCCCACCCCAAAGATACCAGTGGTCAAATGTGGCCTAGAAATTGTCTAAGTGGGTGGATACCTTTGAAGTGGGGTTTGAGATGCTCTGGAAAAACATAATCCCCTCTTACCTCATATATCTTTCATGTTATCTTGGAATCTGAAATTTTAACGTTAGTGCTGCATTGCTTTGGGACCTAAAGAGTCTTCTGTTTTTCTCGAGTCATTTTCAATAATATGGAGGTCATAATTGAAAAAACCTTTAGCAATGAGTTATAACAATCCTTTACTTTTACATTTCTCTTTGAAATGTTCAAAAAGTTTTCAGATGTGCAGCTCTACATCATGTGGGATATGTATAGCACAACTATGGAATTTGTTGATGGTTGATAGATAACACCCTGGGACATGTGACAAAAGGCCAGAACCTGGGCCCAGGTGACCTCTCCCAGGACATATGTGCATTTTAAAAAAGGAACTTCCTGGGGTTAAGAATAATTAGAAGGAAATACCTCTAAGGTGTTAGGAATTTCCAGCCCCAGGACACCAAACTGAGAAAGAAATTTGGGGTGGCCAAAAATGAGAATGTCACTCTCTCTCTCCTCTTTTTTACATGAGGAATTTCAGCTCTATTTTTAAAATTAATTTACGTTTTAAAATTCAAGTACAATTAACATACAACGTTATATTAATTAGTTCAGGTGTGCAGTATAATGAATCAAAAGTATAGGAGAGGAGTTAAGATGGTGGAGGGTTAGGGAGACCCTAGGCTTGCTTCCTTCCTCAAACACAGCTAAATATCAAATCATTTTCAACACCCAAGAAATTGATGTGAAGACTGAGAGAGCAAAAGGATATAACTAAAGGTGAAAAACTGCCACATCCTGGAAGGTAGGAGCTGTGGAGAGTTTATTTGGAGGAGAAAAGAGTTTCAGGTGCTATGATGTGGAGGGAGCCCTAATCACAGAGAGAGGAGAGAGAGAAAGAAAGAGAGAGAGAGAGAGAGAGAGAGAGAGAGAGAGAGCACACAGGGAATTTCACAAGAAAAACTCTTCCCCAAAACCATCCACAGGGAAATGGAGAAGCACTGAATTCATAAGATGAATGCCATTCTTTATCACCAATGATGCCTCCCTGATTGCCTTTCCTGGTCTCTTGGTTCCATAGTACCCGGGGCACAAAACCCTTCTTGCTACCTGTGATACTGGTTACCCTTTGTTTTTAGGCTTTGGATCCTTCTACCTGGCATCATTGGCAGGGGTGTGCTCCAGGTAGGTCTCATCATTTCCATGGTTCCACTCAGTCCCTTCCTGCTGATCTCCCTTC